AGCATTTGGCTCCACAGGAAAAATAGCGTTATTAACGCTTGGCATGCAGCAGAGACCACGACAAAAAATCACAGTATGTTTAAAGGATGAGAAACTGCAAATTGAGGCATTGTTGGACACTGGCACAGATGTGACAATAATCATTGCGCAAAGTTGGCCACCGCATTGGCCTACATTCGAATCAAGTCTACAACAGAAAAATGACTTAACACTGACCTTAAAACAAATGGGACTCGTACTTGCACCGGAAAAGGTTCAGGAGACAAGTCCCTGGAAGTTTTTGGGTTGGAAAATTACAGATTCCACCATTCAGCCTCAAAAACTTACAATCCAATCGGATATCAAAACTCTTAATGATGCTCAAAAACTGCTGGGAGATTTACAATGGATCAGGCCAGTAGTCGGGATTCCGAATGAACTGTTAAATCCCCTTCGGCCGTTATTAAAAGGAACTGATCCTGCTTCAAAAGTGACACTATCAGAAAAACAACAAGAAATACTACAACAAATCGCATCTTTGATCACAACGAGTGTCACGCATCGACGTATATCTGATAAGCCACTCGATCTTACCGTTCTATGTGGCTCAAAATGCCTGATGGGTGCCATAACACAGCAAAAAATAAAAACGGGGGAGAAGGGAGGAGAAACTGTGGTATTAGAATGGATAGCTCCTCCGTTACAACCTCGACGAACAATTCAAGAAAAAATTGCAACATTAGCAGAATTGGTAAAGAAGGGGAGGAATCGAATATTGCAAGTGGATGGGGTTCCTCCAAATATTATCTGGTTACCCATGAAGCCAGGCGATTTGGAATGGTATATACAAAACTCTGAAGAGTTACAAGCTGCACTACTACAGGATGGCGCTACTATAGTAGCAAAAACGTTACAATCAACTGCTCTGACATGCATGGAAAACCAGGGATGGATAACTAAGCCAAAACGATCGTCTATCCCACTTAAGAATGCAGTGACAGTTTTCACTTACGCAGGAAAACGTTCTGGAACTGCTGCAGTGACTTGGAAGGATGAGCATGGTTGGAAACATCAAATTTTATAAGCCCAAGATAAAGACTCATTACAGACACTAGAACTTCTTGCAGTAGTATGGGCATTTATAAAATGGAGAGATGTTCCGTTAAATGTGGTATCCGATTCCTTATATGTAGTAGGCATAGCAAATCGTATAGAAGACTCAGCCTTGAGAGACTTAAAAAATGAATGGCTGTCAGAATTAATAATCAGTCTACAGATCGCCATAGCTCAAAGAAGTGAACCGTACGCAGTAATACACATAAGGAGTCATCAGTGGGAAGAAGGCCTGGGAGAAGGCAACGCTCGAGCGGACCGACTAGTCGCCGCAACAGCTACTGAAGCACCACTGTCACCCTTTTGCAGAGCTCGGGAGGCTCATGCTATTTTTCACCAGAACGCTAAAGGACTTGCGCGGGCTTACAAACTGTCTAGAGCTGATGCGCAGGCGATAGTAAAAGCTTGCCCAACGTGTAGTCATTACAATTCGGGTGTGGGAATCGGAATCGGAACAAACCCGAGAGGGATTAAAACCAACGAAGTGTGGCAAATGGACGTCACTCATGTCACAGCATTTGGCAGATTGAGATATCTGCATGTAACAATAGACACTTACATGATTTGGGCTATACCACAGCCTGGGGAAGAAGTTCGGGATGTACGACGTCATCTTGCCAGTTGTTTTGCAGTAATGGGAGTACCACAAACCATAAAGACAGATAATGGTCCAGCCTATGTTAGTGGGCCACTTAAGCGATTTATGGAACTGTGGGACATTAAGCATATAACTGGTATTCCACATTCACCAACTGGTCAAGCTATAGTAGAAAGAGCTAATGGAACAGTTAAGCAGTATTTGGAAAAGTTTAAAGACATTACAGATATTAGAGAGAGGGTGGATAAAACCTTATTTGTTCTCAATCATTTGTGTGTATTTGGAGATGATGAGGAACCACCCGCGACACGTCATTACATTAAGTCTGAAAATGATAATAAATGTATTATGAGAGTACTGTACCGAGATATGAAAACGGGACAATGGCTGGGGCCTGCTGATGTGATTTATATGGGGCGAGGTTATGTGTGTATCTCTTCCCCTACAGGGCCAACCTGGGTTCCTAGTCGATGTGTTAAACCAGCCATTGAAGAAAAGTCATCAAGTACAAATAACAGCAACCATGGCTGATCTAACGGCACAAGGGATTTTGGTTGCATTATCTTTGACAATGACGGTTGGACGTAATAGTGCCATCCTAAGCAAAATCGATCCTCAAACCAATATGTGGGTCACTTGGGCAAATCAAACCGGACAAAGTTCATTTTGCCTATTCCTCGCTTCTGCGTCTGATCCTTTTGTTGATGAGTTGATTATGTTTGAAATGGTTAAGGGATCATACGCAAAAAATTGTAGTACAAGATAGTTGGTTTGAAGGTTGGTTTAAATCTGTTTTTGGGAACATGGGTGGATGTTTTTTTCTTCGTCAAAGAGGAACTTAGTTTTCTACTTATAGTTATATTGATTATAGTTGCTGCAAAATAAAAACGGGGGAATTGTGGAGGAATCGTTAAGTGAGGCAGGACATGTGAATGTTGAGCAGTTGGGAGACAATGGGCTGGTGAAGCACCGCACTCAACTCACATGAGCCTTGTTGGCACGTATGCAGCTGGCTGAGAGCCAATCAGGCTCAAGGACACGACGCCCTTGGGCCATCGGGAAAGTCCCTAAGGTGGGACAGGTAGCCAAAAGAAGGAGGACCAGACTGAAAAGCCTGGGAAGTGTTAACCAATCCTGAGCTTAGTTTCTGCAATATGTATGAGTTGATTATGTTCCAACTAGATAAAAGACGACTGAGCTATCCATTAAAGTTGAAGTTCACTGTTCACTCATATTGAGCGTCTGGGTCTTCCTTCAGTCTGGGTCTTCCTTCAGTCGGCAACACCTTTCCTCTGTGGTATTTCTGAGCCTTTGTTGTACTGATGTCTCCCTCCTTTCTTAGCTAACTCCCTCCTGCTTTTTGTCCCTTTGTCATTAATGAACTTTGAAAAGAAATGACTATTGGACAAGTCCATTAACAATCTCCTTTCTTCTGACAGTTTCTCCTTCACCACTACCTAATGTAGTTCCTGGGGTTCTAAATTCATTGCCCCTGCTTATGCACTCACTTTATAAAACTGAAATTTGTTATAGATCTATTTTAAATTACCTTTACATTTAATTTGCATGAATTGAACTTATTATCTTTGAATCCAAATCTATTTCTGATGATCAGCTCTTCTATAATGTCCTCATGTGTTACCAAAGCCAAGTATAGAATAGCACCATTTTCTGTCACATTAGTGAATCTCTGGAGGATATCTTTATTGTCTAGAAATGCAAGAATGTCTTGGATCTACCAATAATAGTATCAATTGCTCTCCAACCTAATTCCTGATGTTAAATTATCCAAAACAGCTACTGCAGTAGTAATTACCTCTCTAATAACATTACAGAACTCTTTAGGTAGTGAAAAAGGAACCTGATGGCATATGGAATGCGGGCAGTGATTATCTTTTACCAAACTGAGTTGAGCTGTCATTAACACTGCTTTCTGCCTTTTCCTGAAAAGCAGCTGCCAGTTTTAGAGTACTTATGATTGCTGTTGCAGGACAGATCTACTGTCCCAATGCACTTGCTCATATCCTCTATCAATAGTTCAAGGTCTTTCACTTTGCTGCATAACCTTGCTGCATTTGCACATACAACTTTGTCTTTTCCTCCCTAGTCACTTTTTCTTCAAGATCATTATTCAACTACTTTCTTTCACTTTGCTGTCCATGGACCTAGTCTACAAAATTCCTTTATGCACTGCAATGACCAGATTTGTCTATTATTCAATCTCCCATATACTCCATCAGAGCCTTGAGACTGCACAAGTGCTTCCAGCCTTTTCTGAGTGTTTCTTTAAGGCTTCTCTTACCAATGAAGCCAACACCACTGTTTGCAGTAGTACTGTAGGTCCTTGAGTTAAACCTACCTATTGACAAGATCTCTTCATAACCACATAACAATGCTCACACTTTCCCAAATCTTGTTCAGACTTTATCTGTCTGCTGAACTTCCCTGTCACTTATTTGGTAGGGTCCGGAGCTATGCCACTGAACATCTGGGCATCCACTTTTTTTCAGAGCCTTCCCTGACATGGCACAGTCAACCTCAATCAGCTCTAGCAGTATCCCATCAATGTCATTTATTCTAATGTGAAGGACAACTAGGGACTGTTTTCTGCTCCTATCTGGAAATTTTCCAGACCATTTTTTACCCATGCTCTAAGCAAAAAGCACACTATTCCTTTGACATGTCCTTTGTCAGGGTCTTGAGTCTGTATGGCACAACAGCGGCTCAGGTTTTGGAAGCAGGATGGCAATGTGTGGATTGCTGTCCTCTTGTAAGCATCAGCTTTATGAGGAAGCAGTGTATTGTGCTAATATATGCTGCTGCTTCCAGAACTTCAGAAATACTGCTCAGAAATAGCATGAGCATTTCTTTGTGAACCATTACAAACCCACAGTCCCTCCACCTCACAACAACACAACTCTGTCTTTTCCTGGTAATGGTCCAAGTCTCTGTTCCTCTCCCTTTTGTTTGCAGTCATCCTGGCCTCTTCTTTTTACAGTCCTTCTATATTATCTTCATTCTTTTTCTGGCCAAGCCTTAATCTTAGCTTGATGAAATTCTGTGAGTTTAAAAAGCTAAGCCTTCCTTTTGAAGAAGACCTCTACCACAGCCCAAGACAAAGCGTCCTTCAACGTTTGTAGGTCAGTTCCCTGAGCAGTGGAATCACACTGATAAACTGCTCTGTGAGATTTCTGAGCTGAGCTGGCACATTCAGTCATATAAATGGAGATCTGCTTATGATCCCACTAGCACCTCAACATATTACAGACCCTAGATTCAGCCTTCTCATTCTTCATCAGCAAAGACTCACCTAATTTCACTTGGAGTGGGGGCGGCTTATAGTTCATGGCTACAGTCTCTCCCTTTCTCGTATCACAATCTCTGTCCGAAATAGATGCAGCTGTTGGATCCTGTGGAGATAGAAAATGAAACAGAACAGAACGGTTTAGCTAAAAGTTATGCAGTCACTTCTCTAACTGACTATTAGGCTAGTCCATCCCCACACACATTCAGAGGGAGCAGAGAGTATGCTGGTGTTTCAAATGGCTGAAACCTAGGGGAAAATCACATAACTCTGGAAGTATGTTTAGTATGTTTAAAGTATTTCTGGAAATGCCAGATTTCAACATCAGACACATGATAGATGATATTGGGAATATAATATGGAGGGTGGGTCACCAGATCAAATTCAGCCCGGGCTGGCAATAGTCCCAAGCCATTTTCATATGATGACTCTTTGGTGTGTCGTATGAAACACACTACAGTTTCAACTGAGTTCTAAGTGGATCAGTCAACCTCGTGATTAAAACTAAAAAGTTTGTGACCAGCTGTGTAAGTCTGGCTCAAAAGGAATTAAGACCAAATGAAAAGGTGAATTCAATCTCCAGTCCATCTTGGAGAAGACTGAAGAAGCCTGTATTTCCCATACTGGACCTATTTTGTGGCTAAATGGGAAGATTTAATTTCAGTATCTGTCAGCACAGCAATTTTCACTGGAATCCCCCTAAAACAAAAGCTCCCAAAACTTATATCTGCTCCATCATATAAACTTGCAGACAACCTAATCCAGGTAGTGCTGTATTCAGTGTTACAGTGCATCAGAGCATTCACACAGAGATAAGCTACCAATTCACTTGGCTCCAGCACTGATGAAAGTATTTAAAATCCTTTCATGTCAAATTTCAAACCTGTTGGACCTATATCTATTTAGCACCACTGATTTTCCAATGTGTTCACTTCTTCCCAGCTAGAAACTAAATTGAACATGCATATGTATATATACAAATATGGGTATATGAATTCTGATTTATAATAGGTACACCTGCATAGGGAAAAACATCCAGCATTAAGTCCAATATCTGACAAAACCATCACTTTGTAGAAATAGAAAAAATCGTGAGAAACTAAATATCGATAAATACCACTCCAAACTAGTTAATAATATTGTCCATCTCTCAGTTTCTGGAGATTTCTACAGATTTTCTAGTAAAAATGCAACCTATGATTTGGCGCAGACACCTGTATGCAATGCAAGTTATTGAAGCGCACCTGCGGGACAATGCAGTCATTGGTCCCAGCCAACATGGGTTCATGAGGGGTAGGTCCTGCCTAACAGATTTGATTTCCTTTTATGATAAGAAAACACGGTTGGAGCATTTTGCTCCTGAGGGATGGACCACGTGGTACGGACCCATATCTGGAGCAGTTCTGGAAGAGCTGCTGCCTGTGGGAAGCCCACGCTGGATCAGTTCACCAAGGACTGCATCCCATGGGAGGGACCCCACAGCACAGGGGATGAGAGTGATCGAGAAGAAGCAGCAGAAAAGAAACGCTATAGACTGACCATAATCCCCATTCCCCCGTTCCCCTGCGCCGCTCGGGGGGAGGAGGTGGAAGAGGGTGGATGGGGGGGAAGGTGCTTTTGGTTTCTTTCCTTTGTTTCTCACTTCTCTAGCTTGTTAGTAATTAGCAATAAATCTTACTATCTCCCTATGCTGAGTCTGTTTTGCCTGTTACAATAATTACTGCATGATCTCCTTGTCCTTATCTCAACTTTTGAGCCCTTTTCATCGTATTTTCTCCCTGTTCCTCTTTGAGGAGGGGGATTGAGAGAGTGGTTGTGGTGGAGCTCGGCTGCCCACTTGAGCGGAACCGCCACAGCACCACAGTACAAAAAGGATGTAAAACTGTTGAAGAGTGTCCAGAGGAGGGTGACGAAGATGGTGAAGGGCCTAGAGGGGAAGACATATGAGGAGCGGCTGAGGTCACTGGGCCTGTTCAGCCTGGAGAAGAGGAGACTGAGGGGGGACCTCACTGCAGTCTACAACTTCCTCGCGAGGGGGAGTGGAGAGGCAGGTGACCTATCCTCTGTAAACACCAGTGATAGGACCCGCGGGAATGGTGTTAAGCTGAGGCAGGGGAAGTTTAGGCTGGACATCAGGAAGAGGTTCTTCACTGAGAGGGTGGTTGCACACTGGAACAGGCTCCCCAGGGACGTAGTCACTGCACCAAGCTTGTCTGAATTTAAGAAGCGATTGGACTGTGCACTTAGGCACATGGTCTAAACTTTTGGGCAGACCTGTGCGGTGCCAGGAGTTGGACTTGATGGTCCTTATGGGCCCCTTCCAACTCGGGATATTCTATGATTCTGTGATTCTATGCAATGCAAGCCAGTCAGTGAGTTTCAAAGCAAGGGACTGTTGCTCTTCTGTCTCAGAAAGAAATCAGTCTGTGAGCTCAGTGAGTTCTCCTTCAGTCAGTAAGTTCTGAAGAAAAGGACCGAGGAGTCAAGTTGACAGGACACCAAGGACACCAAGTTGAAGGTGAGTCAGCAATGAAGAGTAGAAGGGTAACAGCATTCTTCTACTTTAAACTACAAGTTTAAATGATCCTGAATGGGATGAGAAGGCGAATAGGGATCAGCCAGCCTTTATTTTCTACAACAAAGGGCTATCAAATGTTAACATGCAACAGCTGGAAACAAACTCGGTACTTCTCCATACTACAGGTGACAGGCTACTGTGGATGCTAAAAGGGGCTCAGGAAAGGGTGAGATAAATGCATGGAAGGGATATCCATCAGGACTATCAAATACTAAAGCACTGCTGCCAGCTTAGGCAGCCCTAGAGGCACAGATCACTGGAGGGACTGAACCAGGGAGGCAGGGCTCACCCAGTTCTCATCCTTACAGGGACACGATGAAGGAGTAGGTGAGACCTTTAATCGGACTCGGAATAGTCATCCTTATTTTCTGTGTCAGAAGCTATTTTATGGTCTCAACTTCAGAACAGCTCCTCTGATTTCCTTGCAATATGTGATTGATCTCTCAAATGCCCAGCTGATGAATCAGTCCCTGGAGAACTTGCTCCTTCCCCCACCACTGACTACCGAGCAACCACCACTGTGGTGCACAGGCCAGGCCCGCTCCCTCTGAATTGCAAAACTGAACCAAAAGGACACTGATCTGGGCCAGAGACAGCGTCCCCAGCATGAGTGTGCCTTGTCTGTGGCACTGGCATAACCCTGGTTCTGCAGCAATGCGCAGGGCTCCACATGAGCACGAGCACGACAGCATTCTTGTGGCTCAGCTGGAGCTGCCCCCTTGTCTCCATGCATACTGAATGCACACATTTCTCTCTATAGTAAATCTACCCAGAGAAACATTTACTTGACTAATTAGCCCTTTGTTTGTGGATGCCTACAAGCAGACCGAGATTCACCTTGTGCTTTTGCTACTGGAATTCACTTGTGGCTTTATCCTTTTTTACAAGCCTTCCTTAGACAATGCATTCAGCTTGGACCCCAGCATCAGGGCCACAGCTATGCGGTGTGACCTGTCCCAGGCCAGGTGATGTGATTTCTCTGCTCCCTGGGAGGCAAATAACACTCCCAATAAAAAGGCAAGTGGCTGCAGTGGCTCCAAAATGGCTCTGAGAAATTAATACATTTTAGGTTTTTTTTTGATTGTTTTTTTGGCTGTTCCTGAGACCTCTTTATGCCTCCTAGGGAAAAAAAAAATACATTCAATCAGACTGCTGCATGAACATTTGGCTGGGGCCAGAGTTTAATCAAAGTTTTCTCCCCACATGCTCACAGCTTAATTGGGCATAGGTAACAGCAGCATTTGAATGGTGGGGCATTTCCTTATCATTTTTTTCTTCTTCTGGGCTCAACACAACAGACCATGAAAACTCTGCCTCCTGCTAGGTACAGCCACGTCCTGCAGTGAGTACAATGTGCCATGTCTGAACATCGGAAATTAGTTCCAATGAACCTTCATGGTACAGCATCAGTGTGAATCCTTGGTATGCAGGAGCATGGAGAGGAGCTGAAACCACTTTAAACTTAAATCAGGGGGTGCCGAGTAGGGTTTTTGTTCTTTCTCTGTTCCACTCTTCTTCCCCTTTCCAGGTCAACAGTCTTTTTACTCTTACTGCCTGCCTCTCCCAGTAGCCCACACTGACTATGGGGAAGAATAACCCCAAACAGCCACCAAACTGCAGTGTTACACCCTGAGCAATGGAGCTGGGTGCAAATACACCCTTGAAGCACCTTTGGAAAAGCAGCTTCCTTTCACATCCTTCACAGTCAACACCTCTGACATCTTGTGAGCTTAACAAGCCTGCCCCATGACTCCTCTGGGACCCTAGTGCACGTGGAAGGGAATGGGCATGCAGTTTTTGTGGCCTTCAGCTGCCCCTTAAGAACAGGGCTGGTAACTGAGATGCCTCTACTTGCCCACCCTTCCAACCCTCAAGATCAGTCATTCTTGCAGTCACTAGAAGACATTCTCCACTCTGCTCTCCGTGGGGAATTCTGTGATCATTAAAGCAGCTCTGCTTTTTAATAAAGCAGAGGGGGAAGAGTGCCTACAGACAACACTCTCACCCTCTGATCTCACGGAAAGACCCAACATACAAGGCTGTACCCATCACTTCTCTCCTCAGTTCAGAGGCATCGGTCTGATTATCAGCAGCTAAATCATTATGATCTGGCTGCTCAAGAATATCATCCAGTTAGCTTTGTCTCTCTCCAATACAGGCTGATGATGTGCGTTCTGTCTTCTGTCCAACTTAAAGATGCTGGAAGTCCTGGTACCAATGTGTGCGTTACGGCCTACAGCAAGCACTTGCAGCCCAGCAGACTCCTGCTTTCTGAAGCTGCCCATGTGGATCACATAGAAAGGGCCATGGAAAGGACAAGCCCAAGTGTTTTGCTTTTTTTTTTTTTTCCCCACATAAAACAATGAGCTTGAAAATGTGATAGATGTTCTGTGCATGAGAAACTGACTTAGCACAAAAACAAGTGAGAAACTCATGCACCCCAAATGCAGGGCATACATTTGGGTCACTGAGAAGTTTCTATCATTCCCATGTTGTCATCCCAGGCTCCTGGGCTAGAACGTTGCTCC